TGCTGGTTCATTCCGCTGAGGCGACCCCATATTAATAAAGGGACTAAGCCGAAAATAAAATGCATGAATGAATGAAATTGTCTGTGTATGGGTGTTTTCCAGTGATGGGTCGCCGCTGGAATGGCATCCGCTGCTTAAAACATATGCTTGATAAGTTGGCGGTTCATTTCACTGTGGCGACCCCTGATTAATAAAGGGACTAAGCCGAAAATGAATGAATGATAGTATTGTCTTATCTACTTATTCTGCCAGATTGCTGACAACAGACACTCAGGGTTGTGTGGTGTATGGGACATGAGTGTTCTCTTTGCAAACGTGCTGATATGCGTAAAATTATGCACCATAAATGCTAGCACCCTGCTAGCCATTTAGATGAATTAAACAGTTAAGTTATAGTCAGGTTATAGTAGCTCCAGTTGCCCACATACAGCGATCATTACAATGTGCTTTGTATTTTCATGGACTTAAAAAAATACTGTTTAAGGCAAAGGATTTATTTTCCATTGGCTCAAGAGAACAAATTTAGATGTGAAACCATTACCCTATTTTATTTATTTATTGGATGAATCAACATTTTATAGCAATTGTTGTTTTGATTAAAGCTTTTAAAAGTTTAGAAATAAAAAGTTAATTGACTTTCTTCAACAAGACAAATATGCTTAGGTTATATAAAATTGTTCACATGGAGATAGAAAATATTGTTTTGGCAAATGGTTTGTTTTTCATTGAGTCAAGTGATACAATTTAGATGTGAACCATTACCCTAATCTTTTTTTTTTTTTAATTAGATGAATGAAAGCTTTTTTTCCCAATGCATGTAAATATCATGTGTAGTCATTTGTGATCCATGCTTTTGATTTTGGCGGCAAAATTAAAAACAAAATATGAGCAAGTCCGAAAGTAATCCAAAAGTAATCTAAATAAACTACTTAAATAAAATTATGGGCTACAATTTTAGTTATGTAGCTAGTAATTAGTAACAGACTACTGTTTGTAAGTGATCAATGCAGCAGATAGATGCTGTTGGAAATAACCTAAATACAATTTTCCTATAGGACACCAGACATTAACAGCTTATTGACTATTGAAAATTTCAGCAATATTTTTATTATCTAAGATTATAGCAAGGCAGTGAGGAAAATGAAAACAGTGCTCAGTGCAGCATTTGCACACTTAAAAATATATATATTTTTTATTATTATTTATTGGTATCAACAGAAGATCCTTTAACATTCAAATATATGTTTTATTAAACAAATGAAGTAAAGTTTTTGTTGTTTACATACACACACATTTACAATGGTTCTTTTATAAACTGTTTAGTTCATAAAACAATTCTTAGGGTAATCAAAGATAGTTCTTATATGGCATCAATGCACCTTTTGTGTGGTGTGGTCTGTAAATACTAATATACACCTTCAAGGCATCTTTAAGGTAAAAAAAAAAAAAAAAAAAAAGTTGCATATGTGGTAGATATAAACAATTTCCATAGTGACCGATTTTGTATTTTCTTTTCCTTACACAGTACATGAACATTGCATTATATTATTTTTTTCACTTTTGCTGAAACAATAATTCTGGCTGTGGAACAGGGCTCTACCTACCTCTAATTTATATCAGCGTGAGGAAATAAACAATGCTACCAGTTCATACATAATAATAAAAAAAAACACGCTTCTTCAATTGCTGTGCGAAAATTTGGTTTGCTGCTTTAATTACTTATTGATTATACTAATGCAAATTATCCAAATAGGAGGCACATATCATTGTGCAAGACTAGACTAGCCTACTGATGAGAGAATAGTTATGCAGTATTAAAGAGCAGAGCCACATTGCCCTCTAGCGGAGAAACTCAATATTCAAGAATAAATGCACAAGTCAAACGCTGCAGTTCAATTAAAACGGTTAGCTTATTATTCATGTGCAGCATTATAACTCTATTATATAAAAAGCACAACATCATTGCAATTATTGCTGTAATGAAGATTATTTAACGGATGATGATGAGCTGCAACAATCAAAGTGCGTGACAGTTGTTGGTTTTTCACTTTGCATTTTCATAACCCCTGAGATGAGGTTAATATTTTAAGAGTACTGTGCTTTGAATGACACATTTACAACGTACAAGAAGGAAACTGGCAGACTGTGAGCATCCGTGTCACAAGTTATGAGAACACATGAAAAATTCATTTGCATCGCTTCTAGAGATTGCTTTGTTGTGCTAGGCTATATGGACCTTCAAGCAGGGCGAAAAATATGAGTGGCATATGGCCGTGTTTTTATTATTTCACAGAGCATTCCCCTTTCAAGTAACCCCAAAATGTCATAAAAACTCAACTTTTATATATGGGAGGTGGTCATTTCTGGCATAAAGTTGGATATTCGCTAAATTGGGACCGTCTTTAAGGTTATACATGACATTAGTAGACACATTTCTAACTTAGCACAAGTTTAGGATTTGAGGAGAATGGATTTCGTCACAAAACTGTGGAGTGCTCATGTATACACAACTTTAGATCTCAAATATAATGCACAACTTTTAACTTTTTTATTGTTCTATTTATTTTTCAGCATTTGAGATTTTTTTTTAAATTATTATTTACAGTATTTTTGTACTAATGTCAAATTTGTGTAATATATTTGAGCCCTACATTAACATCTTTACAGGTTCTGTGACTAAATCATTCTCCACATATGCTAAGTGAGAGATGTCTATCCTTTTAAGTGGTGATAGAATACTGTTTCCGGTGTTCTGTCGGTTTATCCTACCTTGTCAGATTGTCTATTCAAAAAGTAGGTTGCACATTTTGATCAGATTTTGATCAGATTGATCAGATTTTGCTACCAATGTAAATTTTAATGTGGAGTAGTGTGATATGAAGCTGTAATATCGCCCTAACCTACCTAATCCCTATAACCACAACCTCAGAACCATTCAAATACAGTGTTGATAGCATAATCTAATGAGTAGGATAAAATGTCAGATAAACCCGGTCCAAGCTGATACTCATTTGAATTTAGAAAATATTTGTTTATGGCTACCTTTAAGTCATATTAAAGTGAATTTTATATAAAATCATGGTGTAGTCTTAGAACTTGCTGCACCACAGACACCAATATTTTAACAAATATATACATATTCCGATTGTGATTATTGAAAGTATTACATCGCTTTATAAACGTTTATTATTGCCATTTGTTGAGTCTCCCCTTAGTTTGATATAGCCATTGGACCTGGAGACCCCTTTCGAATGATGTCAGACTTAACAAGCAGATACCAATGTCGTTACTTGTCTGTAACTTTAGAGATGGCCCCTAAATTTGTAAATTTATCAAACATCTAATATCAAACCAACTTTATGTCAGTGTGGTACAAAATTAGTTGTCTGAACTTAAGGATGACAAGATTGTATACTATTTAAAAACTGATCGTTTTTGTTGCATTTATCAAATTACAGGTGCTCCTTTGCTGATGTGGGGATTTATTAGTTTAAAAGCACTTCGATTGAAATTCATTTATGCACATCTTCTGTCTGCTATTGATTTCATCTGAACTGATGGCAGATGAAAGGCTTGCTAACATGATAGAATATAATGAGTTTGCAAATGGTAACAGTCAAATAATAAATGCTGCTGTGAAGATGAATAAAGTATTAATGATTAATATAATAGGAATTTGTTTGACTTAAGAATCTGCACCTTTTCAGCAAAAATTGCAAAACTATGACCAATAGATAGTTTTAAAAAATCATTTATATTTCATGGTCAAGAATTATCCTTTGTCGTCTCAGAATATGAATTGATATTCTCTAGCAGTGTAACATTTTTAAGTGTGTTAAAAGTTAGAACAGTGAGGCATTTATATATATATATATATATATATATATATATATATATATATATATATATATATATATATATGCAAACCAAAGTACTTTCCTTAGAAATATCAAGGTTCTCGAAACATTCTGCATGTGTGGGTGTGTGTATGGAATGTGAAATAAAATGAAAAAATATCTCAGAAAATTATAATTAAAAAACAGAACCTCTGACCACTACACATATAGTTGATATTTTATAAAACTTCTTCAGTCACATGATCCAGGTGGTGTTAAAAAAAAAGAAGACATTTTTAGAAAACAGCATAGTCAACAAATGCATTTATTTGATATTCTTCAAATACTTGGATAACATTTGAGACAAAAAAGAAATACATAAAAATACATGGCTATAGGACATGCCATTGCAATATGAAAGTAGAGGTATATAGTCGTATAAATAGCATTTAAGAGATCAGACTTGTGCTATTGATGCCATTTTCTGAAGCTTGAATGCATTTAATCCTTTTAAAACATCTGTGAATTTGTTTACAAAGTGTTCATTCGTTTGCAGTCTGTCATACTGTGCAAATACATATGTAAGTGCAGGAAAGTGCATACATACCTCGTGTATGAAAACATCTGATTCCAGCAATCATGTTCTAATCGCACTTCATTTGTGCACCATCTGACAAATAAAAAGGTGAACTTATAGACTCAGATTCATTTGCCATGCTGCTGCAAACACTACAAAACCAGTTTATTACAAAAAAAAAGTTTATTTTTAAAAATAAATAAAAATCAAATCTTCCAATAAGTGTTTTTTTTTTCTTGTTTGCTAAAATTAAATTAGCAGTTAAATAGGTGGTGTAATGATAATTGCATAACACAACTGTCATAGATGCTGACAATTTCATCTGAAAAAAAAAAACACCTTTTGTGAAAAAGATATTTGAAAAGGCCAGTGTTTGTACTAGGTTGCCATTAGAGAGAAACAAGTCAGAACATGTTTCTTGATATTAGAGTGAAAAGAGGGTCCCTAGTAACTGAAGCTCTCTCTGGGTGACCGCTGTGTATTTCCCCCAACAAAAACAACTCCCCCTACTGCCACCAGTCATCTAACCTACATACAAGCCATCAGAAAATCATTCAAAGCAGAGGACAGAAAAAGCAGATTTGATCTCATCTGTAAAAGCAGAAGAACCTCAAAATAATCATTTATTATGTCTTTCTGAAAGAAAATAAGACAGTCTTCGCAGCCGAAATATCATAAGAACATTTTTAAATGAGCTCGGGGAACTCTTTTTCAGTGCAGCAAACAACTCAAAAACCTCTACATCTGCATGTACATAAATTAAATTACAAACATTTCTATTAGACTATTTAATCAATACAGCACCTCACAAGCTTTTGTTTCAATTCTAACACAATCCTTAAAATATAAGTGTGTGAATTTATTACAAAACGTGTGAGTGAAATCGACGAGTCATAAATAAAATTAGGTATTCAATAAGAAAAAAATATTGAATCATTACAAATATTGAATTTGAAAACAAACGTTTATATCTAATACAACCACAAGGCAACTCCCAAACTTCATTTAAGGACAGGAGGAGGTATATTTCAGTGCCTCAGCTCATGTAAGTCAACACCACTGACTGAATGGGCTCTCGGCACACCGGACACAACTTGTTCCGGTTTTTTAATTTTTTGGCACATGTGTAGCACGCCATAAGGTGCCCAGTCCTTCCGTGAACAATGCAGCCGTTCTTGGGGCGACTCTGACAGATGACGCAGGGTTCTAGGCACGTAGCGGGAAGGCAGGCCTCCAGACTGTTGAAGCGCTCCAGCTCGGGGGTCTCTTCCTGACTGCTGCCCCCGCCGGAGGAAGTGGAGGGCTGTGATGATGTGGTCTGAGAGTCAGTAATGGTAGCAGAGGAGGGAAGCTCATCTTTGGTAGTGGCAGGAGATGGAAAGCACTTGCCGTCGGGTACGTCCACTCCATCATCTGTTTCTGGGAGAGGGCTTGAGGGTTTGGAGAGTTTCTTTTCGAAGGTTGTGTTGGGAGTTGTGGTGACGCTGGTGTCTTCGGGGTTGGTTCGAGTATTTCTTGAAAGGTTTTCCCAGTTGGAGTGTGTTTCTGGAAGCCAATCAGCTCGGACGGTCCAGCAGGTTTTGCAGTGTCGAGGAAGAGGAGGGTTGAACTGGTCACATTTGGGACACTTCCAGTAGTCCTGAGGAAACATATTGTTACAACAGATCATTACTTGTGTCTTGCTTAGCTAACTTGCTAATATTCAGATTGTTGTATTGGTGTTCATCACAGCACAAGATTTAAATGGTCATTTATTTTCTAAATTTTCACACAATAGTCTGGCCTACAACATTGAAAATTCTCAGACTATTTATAGGCATTTTGTTCGGTCACTCTACAGCAGTGTTTCTCAACCACATTCCTGAAGGACCACTAACACTACATGTTACAGGTCTTTCAGTCTCTGCTAATGAGCTGATGATCTGAATCAGGCGTGTTTGGTTTTGGAGACAAGAAAATGTGCAGTGCTGGTGGTCCTACCGGAACATGGTTGAAAAACACTGCTCTACAGTAAGTCTCGATTTGTTAATATAAGTTAATTTACCTAAAGTCAATGTAGTGACAACTACTAGAGCATGTTTTATCTTAGCTGATGGTAATTTCTTAGTTAATGCCTAAAAGCACATTAAAATCAAGTCGTAAACTTTTTATTAAAGTTAGTTATAAATGGACTTAATAGCTTATAAGATTCAGTCGTATTTTTTTATGAACAACTATAATCTGGCTTTTTTTTCTCACTGTTGAATTTAATGCATTTACTGAAGTATACTAATGGGACTTTATTACTGTATTTACTCTTTACAAGCGTATACAGTAAAGCAATAAACTAAGTATATTATGTTTATTATACCTGTTAAAGTAATATATTTATAAGCTTAGGTCAATACCCTGAGATAACACTGTGATAAAAACTTTAGCAATTAACCTCAACAAGAAAATTAGACACTGTCAGAAGCCTACATTTCAGTTTTATAACATTGTGATTTACCTCATTAATAGTTAGTTTGGTCCCTGTGAATCCCTGCAAATAAACAAAAACAATGCCAAAATGCTAAAAATGTGGATGGGCACTAATGCACTCTATACACATTCCTAGTCACAATAAGCACAGTCCATCAGTGCACAAAGTTCAGTAGAAAGTCTGTCATCACAATCTTTCAACAAAATGTAATAACTTGCTGCAAAACTCAAACAGCTGCTTTTTTTGGCCGACTCACAAAGGCTTTCATTCCTAACCTTTAAACTAACACACTTTTCATGATCCAATATAATCCTCATATACAAAATCAAGCCCAGTTCGAGGAAAATGTCAGGATTTAGAAGTAAAATGCTACATACTGCCTCGGTTATCTCAGTATCTTCATCAAAAGAGTCTTCGTCTTCTGCGAAGATTGTGACTTCATATATCTGAATAAGCAAAAAAAAAAAAAGCTGAGTTGAGAATTGTTAAACAGGTTAGACTAGTAGTCATCAGTTAATCACTTTCTCTTAATAAAGCAGGACTTAAGAGCTGAAACCTCGTTCTCTCCTGGGACAGAATCCACATCATTCTCACTGTAAGCATCAGAGTTGATGGACTCCACCTCAAACTCCACACTAAAGTTATCAGAATCAGAGTCTGAGTCTTCGCTCTCCTCACTGCCCTCACTGCGAGATATACCTACATCCTGTAGAACAAGCAAAACATTGGTTAGAAAGAGCTACAGAACAGCACAAAGTTGCTGACTTATGTTAATAATCCAAAACTATGTGAACAAACATTTTAAAAGTCCTCCTCACCGAGTTGCTGTTTGCATCCGAAGACTCGCTGTTCCCCCTCTCCCGGTGCAGGCCACCAATCACGCACCAAGACAGGCTGTCATCAAATGTCAGGGAAAAGCTGTCCGACTTATGCCTCTTCCTGCGTTCTCTAGACTCGTCTTCAGCTGAAGAACTCTCTATTGAAACACACACAAAAACAGGTTCAGCACAAAGCTTTTAGATACAAACATCCTTTACATGTTTACACATATAGATGTTCTGCTAGAAAACAAGAACACTGAGTTCCCTAGACTTCCGGATCAGTTTCTTTTTCTGTGTATATGCTATAAAAAACAGACACACACACACACAACCTTAAGTATATACAGCATATTGACCTAGTTTAAATTAGTTGATATTCCCATTAGATGCACTCAACTTTGGACACTTATGGGCCAAGCAGGAGCAATGCTCTAAGCGATAATGGTGCATCTGGTGCGGCTTGCTCAACAAACTGCCTTTGTGTACATGGCTGCGGTTTTAAAATGAGCCATTGAAGAGCCGCAGTCATCTGAGCACATTTTTGCACAGCCTCCAGATCTCGGTGTCCTTTTGAGTTGTTCACAGTGACAGAAAGAGCAGTCATTATGGTACCACATGTTTACCCACACACAGTCCTCTGTCAGGACTGAAGGAATTGTACATGATAATCCAGCATGAGGGAAAGTCCTGACGGCTGAATGGTTACTATAAGTTAAACAGAACTACAGCGAACAGATTTGAAATCATAAAAACTGAGGAGAACAGGTCTGAGCGACAAAAACGGTATCAGTATTTATTGACCAAACACCATTGTCAATAACAATAAAAAGAAGTTTAGTATAAAGGGCTTTAGGTTTAATATGGCTGCTGAGTGTGCACCTTGGAAGGAATGCCAACAAGCTTAGGATGCAAGTTTGTCATTTGCAATGGAGACACGCGACTTGTAGTGCAAGTAAGGATATGCATATTCAGGCACACCTAGTTGAAAAAGATCTGAATTTTTTAGAATGGCCACGTGCGCACTGCGATTCATGCAAGTAGAATTAACCAATCTGCTTTACTCTTTATTTAGAATTTTCACATTTCAGTAATAATGGTAGGCTAATTACCTCAGGCAAACACAGCGCACCCAAACACTGCAATGATTTTTCATTTTCTCCATAAACTGCAACAATGGTTTGTCCGTTTGTCATCTTCTGAGAAAACAGTTGATGGTCGCCTAGTTACAGAAAGACGGCAGGGGAGCGCATTGAAAATAGGGAAGAAAACGACGCTTTCGTGCTTTTCATGAGTTTTGGGTTTCGTCATCGCCACTTCATGTCATAATAACAACACATGCAAAAATGAGTGCCATATAGCAACAGTGAGGAGATTGCAGATAAAAAAAGATGTGGGGAATGTCGTCAGAGTGGCGGTGATGTAGTTATCCAACTTCACAATTTGTAATGTTGCAGTATGTATCCAAACAATGATGGCTGGTTCCTTCCTTTGAAAGCTCAGATTTGATTATCATAATTTGTTTTGTTTAAGGAGTTTTAAGGTTTACAGTATCATTATTATTCACACCTAAAATTTTGCTTTGATTGTTCAGCAATTACACTCAGCAATTAAGAGTCTCTTTAACATTTATGTTTATTTTATTATAAAGAGATAAGATATTTGGTTTAAATATTTTTGATTTTGACTAATAGAATTATTTGCCTTACTAATGTTGGTAAAGTCGTTAAATAAAACAATCCTAATATTCCTAAATGGATTGTTAAAGCTTATTCAATAATTATCTAAATCGAATGATATGAAACATGATATTATGATAATTTTGTTTGCTGTAACGATTAGCCCTAGACTAAAAAAAAAAGGAAGAAAAAAACATCTTATTGGTTGCATCTTTTACTTAACTAATTGTGGCATGATATCATAAAACCAGTCATAATTTTCAGTTTTGTGAAAGAGATTTATACATCATTTGATATCTGAATGAATAAGCTTTAATTGATTAATAGGATATGACAATATTTGGCCAATATACAACTACTTGAAAATCTGGAGGGTTCTGAAGAAAATTAGGGTTAAAAATAATGATAAAAATAATAATAATTACCTTTTAAAGTTTTCCAAATAATGTTCTTAGCAATGAACTAATCAAAAATTTAGTTCATATATTTGCAGTAGGAAAATGTCTAATTATTATTGAATATTCTAATGATTTCTGGCAAAAATAAATAAATAAATAAACATATATATATATATATATATATATATATATATATATATATATATATATATATATATATATATATATATATATATATATATATACACACACACACAATTTTGATCTTTGAATGATTTTTTTTTTTTTTTTTTTTAGCTCTTGCCAAAAATATACCAGTGCAACATGAGGTTTTTTGTTAAGTTTTACACCTGAAAGTAAACTTATTAAATTAATTAAAACGTTTCTTAAATTCTACCTGAGTGCATAATGCATACACACAAACACAACAAAAATGGACAAGCCCTTTCCTGTTCAACCAGGAAATCTGTAAACACTGGAATAAAAACAAACATGAAACCATTCTCTAAATATCTGTACAGGGAGAGCTGAATGTAAAAACAGAGCTCTATCTGAAACCCCAGTTGATCAAGCGTGTGCTTTCACACACACTCAACAGGCCACAGCTGGTGCGTTTGTGTGTCTTTCTCTCTGGTGTGTGCCCTTACCAGGATCACTGCTTCTCCTCCTCCTGCGCTGCTGTTGTGAGGTAGATGAGCGAGAGTCTGAATCTGTATCCTGGAACAGAAAGCTGGGTTTCAGTCATGCTTCAATCTCAAACACAGCAGGGGCTCTATAAAGCCATTCAAGCACAAACACAGCACTGCCAGGGCAACTCTGTGGAATGGGTCAATACTCTGTGGTTCTAAATGGGAGTATAAAAGAAGATTTACCCCGGGTCCTCGATCTGGTTCACTTTGACTCCTGGGTTCAGAGAAGGTAGACTGTGATTCTGTAAAAGGAAATCAGACTAGTTTTAATACAATACAGATAGCTTGTACAAATAAAACTATATTGTTAAAAATAAATAAATAAGCACAAACGAAACTAGTTTTTAAGGTACCTGGATTTTTCACTGTGACAAGGTTTCTGTTGATCAATGCAAAGAGGGCACTAAAAAAAATAAAATTAATCATTCAAATAGCAAATTTCACTTTCAATGCTTACAAACTTATGTACGTATATAGAAAATATTCTTATCATTACTTTTATATCTACTTTAAAACAAATGTTTTAACTTGAGTATCTCAATATTTTATGAAGCCACTTTATATCCTCAACAGGTGATAGCAGAATGGCCAGTAAGGCAAATATCCAGATAGTGCCACCTGTTGTTGTAAAACCCCACCCTGATATTCTCAAGGGTCTTTAGTACTACAGCTGTTACTGCCTTGGACATGTTAAGAGATTCAGTACGCACCGCGGCTCTTTAACTGAAAAACTTTTCACTCCAAGAACAGCACCGAGAGGATCCTCTCCACAGTGAACTATGTGTTGCTGCTGCTTGTCATATAACTCCTTGCTCATGATATATTTCCCTAAATAAAACATAACCTAAACACACACAGAAAGGAAGAGGGTTGTTTAGAGATGAAGAGGCAGGGATTTAATTTTATATGCATTCAGAATGTGTCAAGAGAAAGGATGGTAAAGATGTAACTTATAAATATGCAATGAGTAAAACGTTCCCGTTAGTCATACACAACCACAATTTCCAGTTATAAAACAATATGACTCATAGCATCACATTGAGGCTAACAACAGATGATAATATATGAAATAAGCATTAAATATAAAAAGGCAAACAAATTATCTACATTAACAAAGATTAAAATATTTTTTTTTTAAATCTTTCAACTGCATGTGCAAAAACTAGTGTCACTGAGTCAATACGTTTTATGGTTATGAACTAAAAGAAGAGCCCACCCTAAAACCCCTAGACATGACTCAGGTCCTTTCAATGCAAGTTTAATGGATTTTAGCACATTCTATCTTCCCTAAAAACATCAGATTTACTGTTAGTGCCTACTAGTCTCTTCACTTACAGAACTAATAGGTTACAATATTTGAATTGAAATGTGCAATACAAGGTGATGCTTAATATTTGAGTTTAGGGGATTGTTTAAATCCCTAACCCTATATCACAGCAAGGGAAACAAAACAAATCAAGTGCCACACTGAACAAAAGCAATAGCCAAATATAATTAACCACCCTCATGCCCTTGTAAATTTACATTTGTTTAACTGTACACATAAATATGCAGCAACATGTGAAATTGGAGAAGGGTTATTTATAGTCAACAACATCAAACACTACTGCCATATGACCGCAGTCATATGGACCAACAAACTCTTGAATAGTTGTCATATAGATAAATACATAAATAATTTATTTTATACAAATATTACCACAAGTGGCATAATTTTAATAAGAAGTAATATAGCATGATAGTTGTACTCCTGTTCAAAAGTTTAGGGACTGCAAGATTTTTGTTGGATTGTTTTCAAATATTAAAATGTGAAAGTAAAAGTTAATACTAAAAATAAAAGCATTTATAATGATATTAAATATTTATTTTTCAAATAAATCCTGTGAAATGTTTATAGATGTTTACACAATACAAAAATAATAAGCAGCACAACTGTTTTTAACATTGATTATAATAATAATAATAGGAAATGATTATTGAAGTAACTAGCATATCAAAAGTTTCTGCGGCTCACGTGACATTAAAGACATGGCATAAAAGCAGCTGAAAAGTGACCTTCGCCATCAAAGATAAAAACTACTTGAAAATATATGAAAATAGAAAATTATTATTTTAAATTCTGATCATATTTAATAAAACTATAACATAGTTTTACTATTTTAATGCACTTTTAATACAATAACACCAACTGATTTTAATTTTTAACCAAAACTCTAATGACAATCTTTCCAGCTTAAAATCTCTAAATTATAGTGAATATGAAATTAAATGTACTTAAATCTCCCATCAAGTCTATTTACCTCCTTCATGGTGAAAACATCTTTATCTGCACCTGCATCCTCTAACAGGCTTTTCAATTGCACCTTTGGTCTTACCTAAGGAAGTTACCATAAATAACTCATTCATATCAAGACACAAAAACTATATTAAAATACAAAGTCATTTTGAGGCTACATTACCAGTTTCTCGTTGTCAACCTTGCTGATCTGAGAACTGCTTAAACAACTCTCTGTTGCCATTTTGGTAGTTATCTGTAAAAAAAAATAAACAAACAGAGTTAGAAGATGCAAACAGTCAACAATTCAACACAGATGCAGACCTCCACATCAACATTACCTGTGCAAAAAGAGGTAAATTGAGTATTCTTGCTAAAACATATACTTTACTATCTGTACATAAAGTGCTTGAGCTCTGGGTTGGTGATGAGTAGGAGCCGGTGAAGAGCCGGTCTATGGTTTAAATAGGCGCAGAGAGGCATGTCAGGGCTAGAATCCACCGAGGTGATCATCATGTCCTGGGCGGGTTTGGGCATGACAAGTCAAAGCGTGACTGTATTTCCGACGCCTAGCGGTAGCAGACTATCTTTGCTGAGCTGTCCGTCTGTCTGCGTTCATGTCCGGGCATGTCCCGGACTCGCTGCACCCGCCCATTTCTGGATAAGCACATGAGGCTTATCGGCTCAGTAACAGGTGAAATAACGGGGTGTTTGGACCAATGCGATGACCTCCGTGGATTACAAGCGCATCAAATATATAAATAAAAAAATCAGAATTCATCATTGCTAAGTGCTACGACAATACGGATGACAGTCGAGTGTTTTGAATAACTTGCACGCCGTGTTTGTTTATCCGAAATGCAAACAGTACACACATAAACAAAACGAACTCAAGTTTGTCTTCGGGATTTATGTCGACCATCTACATGTATGGGATATCATTAAATTAGCTGCACATACGTTAAATTATGAAAAAAAAACTAGAGGTAACGTGAACATTTATTTGCATGTAAATATTATGTATAAACATGCTCGATTGTTTTCTCTTTCTCGCCCTTGTTGGTGTTGTTTATCGTCATGTTCTTCATTAATAATGGCACAGTAACGTTATACCTTGCGAAGCTAACGTTAATTTACAAGTTACACTGCTAACGTACTGATGTACAAAGTTGTAACGTTAATATGTCTATGACTAGGTTAGTGACACACAAATACTAGTTGTTTATTACGTCGGATTTCAGTAAGGCAAACAGTAAATATTGACAAATAACAGATAATAATGACAAATACTGTTTTTTCTGGTTGCAAAACAAGTGTCACAAGCTGTTAGTGTGCTGAGTTTACGTAATACTTCTGTGGATTTCTTAACAGATAACGTTAAGTCAGAATCGTTTTACTTAAATAAGATTAAACACGTCCTGCATAATACGTGTACTGCGCATCTGGGCGACATTAACGAAGCTGTGTTGATCGTAGCAACGCAACAAACGCGAGCTCTCCCGAGTGTCTGTTTCCCGCAGTGGGCGCTCAGGAAAGCCCGAGGCTTCAGTAGGCCTCGCTTTGAGCTCTAGCGTAAGGCTAACTGAGGTGATTTATTTCAGCCCGCTAAACCGAAATTAAAGCCTCAAACTGAGCAAAATGCACACGCTACAACGCCTAGCAGTGTTTTAATTATATTTGCACTGTTATAAATGCAGTTAATAAAAGAGAAAGGGCGAAATGTCTAAACTGAAAGTGTTTATGTTGTCCTACCTGCTGGTGACCGTTTCGCGAATCGACCGTTTGCTCCCTCTACTGGACCAACGCACATTTCAAATTGTTCACTTCCAGCACGTGCGAGAAGCGCGGGGTGTAAACAATACATAGCAAGTAGAGGACGGCGAGTTGGGTAATATTTACACTGGCTGCATTTGCTGTTTTACTGTTTTTCAGTTTTAGTTCAAGTGAAGCACAGGTATAGTTATTATTACTGTTTATATTTTCGCATATTGTAGGATTTAATTTCAGTTTGTGGTTTTAAAAGGTTGTTTGGTTACTTATTTAGACTCAATATACATCATGAATCTTGATGAGTTTTGGCAACTGGGTTCAGCATTTTAAGGTTGGTCTGAATAACAAATGATTTATTTTGTTGTGATTGAAAAGCAGGGTTATTACACCAAATATCGCTTTCTTAACCCTTCAGAAGTTTGTGTTGTCTTAAAAAACGTGTCATCTTTTTGTTATTTCATGCAGAATAAATGTTCTAAACGAAGTTGAAATTAGGAAGAAATGTAAGCAGTAATTTACGGAATTGAAAAGCTTAAAATAAAAATTGCTTTCAGTACCAATAAAAATGTATATTTAAATCGTTTTTATTCATATTAAGTAATGCATTTAACATATGAAAATTTGACTGTTGATTATACAAAAAACTAAATACAGCATTGTTATATAAAATAATCAAAATGTATACAATTTTTTAAAATTTTAACTTGTGATCAGTGTAGTTTTTTTTTAATTAAAATTGTTATTAGTAAAAAAAAAAATGACTGATCATTTTAATCAGTTGGTTTGAATTCTTAATGAGTAACGATGATCACATTTCTCCTGGACTGCTCAGATGCTGTCATGACATGACCCTTGTACACTATTGAGTTGACACATTTGCTTGCCAAGCTAACTACTTAGAAACTTGCTATACTATACTGTTTGCTGAGTGAAATCACTGCTTTATGAAGAGGACAAAAGCATGTCTTGCACAGTTCCTGTGACAGGATCAGGTCTTTAGGGCCAGGGTAGAGTGAGAGTGACTCATAGATGACTTTAGTACAACATGTTCCTCTACGCTCAACATGTTTGGGCTTGTATGTCTGTATTAATGAGAAAATTTAATGGACCACTGGAGTAATAAGAAAAGGAATTAGTTTAATAATGTAAGTAAGTAAGTAAGGATGAAGACAGAAATTAAAGTTACTATCAGAATTTGGACATTGTATCCAATGAAACAAGAACACAAATGAAATTTATAAAGATATAAACAAATAATAACATTGTTTCATTCATTTATAAGTAAAAGTTTAGTTTTTTTAATTGCATTATTGCTAAAAACATTTATACAAACAGTCAACTTTTAAAGTGGATCAAACAAGTTTTTTTAAATTGTCCTAAGACTTTAAAGGGTTTTAAAAATTGCTAAATTGTTTCAAAATTGCTAAATTATTTGCTAAATCAGCATGACTCAGAAGGATTATTTCACATTGAAGACTGCAGAAATGACAGCTAAACAGGCATGAATGCGTTTTGAAAGTAGAAAAGTTATCATAAAGTGCAATATTTCACAATATTTCTGTTCTTATTATTGATTAAATAACGTTGGTGAGCACAAAAGATTCAATAGCATAAAAATAAAAGTTCTATCAACATGCATGTTTTGTTTTAAATATATATATATATATATATATATATATATATATATATATATATATATATATATATATTTATACAGTTTAGTGCTAGTGTAGACATTATTATACTTTAATATTTAGAATTTTTTTAGAACTGTATTTACTCTCTTATTGTCTGAGAAGATGTGTTCTTCAAGTTTCACAGAATATGTAATTTCTTGATGAAACATCCTTTTAAGGTCATAGTTTTTTTAGTTATCACATCCTTGAGAAACCCCTTGAAAAGTCCAAGATCCACGCAAAAGGATGGTGAATATGTAGGCTTGGGACTGAAGACAGGACTTTGGAATGCGAGTGATGCTTAAAATGTGCATTGCCAAAGAGAGCGAGAAAGAGAGAGAGAGATTCATTAACTGAACAAAAGATTGACATTCCATTTCACAGATAGTAAAGACTGAAACATTTTTGCCAAGTAGGCAGCGACCCTTGTCCTAAAAGTCCTGACTAGACTCAATATGAGATCAAATTCAAGTCTTGGAAAAAAAAAAAATACTTAAAGAGTACTGTTGGTTCTTATAAAATGTTTTATTGTTGTACAGACAATAGATTATAGACAGAAAAATACATCATTAAATAATATTTACAAAAGAAAATGCATTTTATTTTGCATTTTTATTTGCAAATATTGAACACTTGGATTAAAAAGTAATATCTTACAAAGATTGAAATGCTATTGACAGTCCTCAGCCTCTGGCTTCAACTTCCTTACAGTCTACACTACCATTAAAAGGATTTGGGATCGATAAGGTTTTAAATGTTTTAAAAGAAGTCTATTCTGCTCACCAAGGCTGCATTTACTGACTTAATTTAAAACTCTTTTATCATTTTATTGAATGTGGTTTAAAATTATTAAAAAAAATATTCCTGTCATTTAAAGCAGAATTTTCCGCATCATTAATACAGTGCTTTGTGTCAGATGATCCTTCAGAAATCTTAATGATCTGGTGCTTTAAGGAACACTCCTCTTTTTTTCTGATAATATTTTAATTTTACAAGATCCCTTGAGTTAAACTGTGGAGTTTTAACATTTTTGAATGTACATATTCTATCTCCGGGGAGAACTTTTAGCTTAGCTTAACATAGATCATTAATTCAGATTAGACCATTAGCATCTCACGCAAAAAAAAATGACTAAAAGGTTTTGCAAATTTTCCTATTTAAAGCTTGACATTTTTGTAGTAATTCTGTGTACTAAAACCAAAAGAAAATGAATGAATTTTGCATTATTGGAAGCTATGGAAATTAAAAATGTATTTTATGTTTTTGTTTACATTCCACAAAGTGGTCTATAGGCTCGTTTAACTCTAGGGGAAGTGTAAAATTTGCATATTTTCAAATGAGTGGAGTGCTCCTTTAAGAAACGTTTATTGTTGTTATTATAAGTGTTGAAAACCGTAATGCTGCTTCATACTATTGTGGAAAATGATACAATACCCTTAATAAGTATTTACTTTTGTTCATCGCATAAATTGTTAATTAGTGAAAGTAAATATTTTAATGTAAATAATGGACTTTCTTTTTATCAAAGAATCCTAAAAAGTAAAAATGTATTAGTTTCCACAAAACTATGAACCATGAAAAGATAATCATAACAATCATTAATAGTAACTGAGCACCAATAATAACCGATGATAACAGGACAGCAAATTATCATGCGACACTGAAGACATTCAACAAGAAAACCCTTAATAAGTTATAATATTTCACAATTTTACAGCATTAACTGTATTTTAAATCAAATAAATGCAGCCTTATTGAGCAGAATAAGCTTCTTTTAAAAACAAAAGCAGAAAATCCCAAACTTCTGATTACCAGTAGTGCATGTTTGGTTAATCTTCACGGTATCTTCTCCTGAACACGTCATCAGGCACTGAACTCTGTGTTGTCATTGATTGACACATCAGTGGATTTACGGCCTCTGCGTGAGTCTGCTTTTGCCCTCCTCCTGTTCTGCCAGCTTGAAGTGAGTGTATGCCAGGATACCAGTGAGGGTGCAGAGAATGCCCAGACCCTGATTTAAAGACAGGGGGTCCTGGAAGAGAACATACCCTCCCAGTAATGTAATGCAGAACTTGAAATGGCCAAACATGTTGTAGCTGTGAGGAGGAATGTTAAGGGAACTTTTTTTAGATTTATGACTTGCGTTTGAGTCTTAAAGATGTGCAAAAAAATTAGTCAAACATTTTTTTAAAGTGTATATTCTTTAAACCATTTTCTAGATAGGTAGGTTTGTGAATATTACATTTAAAACAGCTGATTAACCTAACCAAGCATTAAGTTGATTGATAATATACAATACTATTTTTAATATTGATGTATGGATTTCTGTAATAATGTTAGATTATTTCTGTTGAATAAACTTATGCATGGAAATAAAATAACATTTATGTTAATTTCTGAATAAATCTAGCATATTTTATGTTAAAAATAAATAAATAGTTAATTATACGAATATAACGTTTTATTTTATTCCTTATTTATGCATATACAAGTCTTATTAATAGAATATGTTATACGACTCCAAATATTAAAAAACCTAAACAGTTAAATGAATGAATATATACATTTTATATGGATTAGTTTACATAATTAATTTGTAACTACTATTTTAACATTAGTTACAATAAAAAATAAAACATACTATGCAAATGAGTTAATTTGTTAAAAACAAGTAAAAGTATGTTTAAAAAACATTCATATTTTTTATTGACTCTGGATTGATCAACATTGTTATTGTCAATTTAAATATTACAAATTATACAATATAATCTGTCAACAGATGGATTTTTAAATATAAATACATGTCTTTTTTATCTAAAAGTGAAAGAATTTGGTATAAAACACATGCATGTTTGTACAATAACATAATTTGTAATATCAATTAATTGATATACAAGTTTAAACGTCACTTATCATCATTTATAAATAGGAGATATGCACAAGACACACATTGATTTTGAGTATTGTTATGCATCAACATTCAAAAACTGAGCCATCATATTCGCACATCCCAAGATACTTTGCATTTATATATAAATAGCTGCAAGAATGTTTTTGAAAAATAAATCCGCTCACAAATATGTTTGCCTAATACGTGTCCCAAACATTGCAGTTTATGGTTTTGTGCTCCCTCTGCTGTCAACATTATGAAAGCTCTCCCTCATTCACTAACGCTTACTCAATGGCTGCATTCAGAAGCATGGAATATTTCCAGTGTGGCTCAAGTCTAAAGAAAAAAAAAAGAACTTCCCCTTTCATTATTAAACAAGTGTGTAAATACATGTTAATTATTTGCCAAGCTTACAGGTTCTATAAACAGACATTTGCTTGCATTATAGGCCTAGTCTGACAATTAACAAACAAGAGAGCCCTGTTTTGGTATATATTTGTCTAAAGGGTGTGTTTTGCACCAAGAATAGAACAGAAAGGAAGCACAGCTGAATGACTGATGTTTTAGAGAAGCAGCAGAAAGGATACGTAACAGGAGACGTGTTCCCGATGATCCAGTAAATGGACAAATTGACCAGAAAGGCAATAACACCAGAGAGCAGAACCATGAACTTCATGAAAAAAAAACAGAAAATATTTTTCAATCAATAATGCATCTCAAACATTTAGGAATAAATAAATATTATCATAGCATAATTTGTGACAATTGAGCATGATACCAAATCTTAGGAATAGGAAACAATACAAGTCAGAATTTTACTTTTATGCCTAAAATCATTTAAATATTAATTAAATTCCATGTTCTGATAATTCTTTGTAAATTTCTTACAGTAAATGCATAAAAACAAAGACAAAACATTGCTACATTTTTTTAAACTATAAAATGTGTTTTTCTAAAGAAAAATAGTTTTTCCTTAAATATTTATAGTTGCATATTGGCCAAATATTGTACTATTCTAACAAAACATACATAAATGAAAACTGATGCTCATATTTAAACTCAGTCTTAATATTTTCTAAGAATATTTTAAAATGTAATACATTTGAGGATATAATATTTTAAAAAGCAAATGAAACTGTAGGAAAATCTAATATATTAATAAAATATTATATGGTTTACAATTTTTAATATTGATGCATATTAATGTAAAAAAAGGCTAAAAAAAATGAATAATTTATGTTTGTATATTATTAATTAAATAACACACACATATATGTATATACTCTGGACAAATCTGATTTTGTACACATCTATCTTACATATTGTAAATAAATGAAAAATAAATAATAATAATAATATTAAAACAGTTAAAAATAAATATAACCTTCTGTTAATATTGATTCGTGGCTATATCAGACTTGTAAATGTTAGGTATAAAAATTTAATACATTTCAAAATATCAATAATGCTATAACACTAAATAGCAGAACCATGATATTGATCAAAGAAAAGATATTTAAAAAAAATAATAATATTCACATAGTAAAATCTACAACGGTAAATATAAGTTACTATTGAATTTTTCAACTTTAACCCAAATTGGGGTATACATTCAAAGACTTTTACTTTCCCCCCCAAAAAAGTCTGGCTAGTAACACAAGGCCTCTATGAGACCGTGTTTGTATAAAGAGGAAATACCATTGGACTGAAGCATATGAGACTGTGTGAGAAAATGTGTTTTCTTGCTCATTTTCTTACCAGGGCCAGAAATGACCAAGGGCCAAATATACCACCGTCTCCAGTGAGGGGTTCAAAGAATGGCACGAGCACCAGGAGAAATGCAGAAGACATGGGTGCTTGATAATACAGTAACTGCATTGAGTTCACCTGAAGCTCATGCTGCTTGGCGCCGACCCACTATTTTAAGAGAAAGAGAGAGAAAGAAAAATGTAAATAATTAGCTAGTTATATGCAGTGTGATCAAAATATCTGAATAAATTCAACTAAAAATATTATTATGATATATTGTATTAAGTTTAATTTTTCTAAAGGTTTTTCTTATTTTAATATATTTCAATATGCTGTTAGATCTTCTGATTAGTCTTATTTGACCATGACTGTAATAATATTTCATTAGTTATTACAAATTCATATTTTTATTTTAAGATGTTTGTTTCGATTCTTGCAATACATTAATTCTATACAAATACAGTTTAAACTAAAAAGTAATATTGGTAAACATTCAGTCTAATAACATTTTTTATAAACGTTTAATGTGTAGGTCAAAATGCATTGCTGTGATCTTACAGTTTAATAACTGCTCTCAAGTGTAATAAAACAATTTGTATCATGATGTTAGAAGAAATCTTCAGTGGCAGATTCATTATGAATCATTCTAAATAGATGATTTGTTGCTAAAAAACTATATACATATACATGCATACACACATTATATGTAATATTTAACACACATATAATAATTTCTGACCCCATACTGTGAACCTTAGTATAAATATTTAATAATTATTATATTTATGATAAAGGAACTAAATTTGTTTCTATACTTGAGGTCTCGGAGTTCTCCAATAACCAGAGCACTGGTTTTGAATGAAGACATTTATGACATACAAAGTGTGAATGCAAGAACACTTACCACTTGATACAATGAGGTTACCAAGACACCCAATGTGGCAAATATCATCCCCATAAGATTGAACCGCACATCATAGTACGAGTTTAGTATGACCCCTAAAGTGATGGGCACCTTTTAATGACAAAACAAAAATACAAACATTTAGCATCACAAAATTAGATCACATATATTATTTGACCCATAACCCAGACTAATCAAATCCTACATGTAACTATGACTTGCTTTTATGCAGAGCATAGTCCAAACTCATAGTTCAATGCTATAAAACTGCTATATGAACATGTTACAGTAGCAATAGCACTCAATTACGAGATAGACTTTGATTTTAAGACGTGCTTTGATTTTAATTGACATAAACCATTGATATGCATAATAAACGAAGCCCACTTACTAGAGTCAGTTTAATCTTTGTGGAAAAGGTCTTTCTGTAGTACATGGTCTGGATGGCTATAATCACAGGTGTTGTCATGACCTTGGCCAGCTGATATGTTCCTATAGTGTTGCTTTGGAGAGATAGATTAGTGAAAACAACAAAACCACAAAAACTCAGAGCCAGCAGGAGGATTTTAGACGGTCTGAGACTCTTGGGGGCAAATATATCCATCTTCTGGCAAATAAACAACCCCAGCCATGTCATTACGAAATGAATGAGAGTCAGAGTCATGTTAGGGAAGCCGTAGTGCACATAAATCCATTTGTTGATGAACACTATGCATACTGAAGACAGTAAATTGACCAGCAGTCCTGCAATAATCCGGCTGTTTCCGAACAAGTCAGAGAGTCGCGTCGCCATCGTTGAGCTCATTCAGACTAGTGTATATTCCTGGAGAAACAGTTTTTGGGGCTCTGCTTGGGTTTGGGCATCAGCAGAGAGACAGAAAGCGCCACTGCTTTCTGTGGCTGAGTCTGTGAAAGCGGGTTTTCATTATAGGACTCGAGCTGGGCTCAAACACACGCGCATGACGTCCTCAAACGCGACGCGAAGTTCACAAATGAGAGACGTGTCTGCAAGTTAACGGTCTCCGTCCGGACTCTCGCGAGATTTATTTGTGGAGAAGTTTGAAGGCAGCGACGCCACGTCAGAGCTCTAAAGCGCCGTCTTCTGGATAAAGTAAGACAATGTAGGTTCATAACTTTGTGCTTTCTGTTATAATGTCATTATTAGCTCACAGTAATGTTTTAATGCCTTACTTATGTCGTCCAATACGGTATTTATGTCCATGCCATTGAAGCAGTGCATTTTTGTTCATAAGATTGTTGGCCAGCAACAGCAACATGCTTAGACAGCAAAACTCTTCAATTATAAAACAGCAAAAAGCAGTTGAATAAAATAAGGGTAACTATTACACCAACAAGAAACATAAAGATGTCAGTTTCTCCAATGTTACAATTCTAAAAAAAAAAAAAAAAAAAAAAAAAATATATATATATATATATATATATATATATATATATATATATATATATATATATATATATATATATACACAATTTGTTTATAATGCAGACTATAACAAATATAATATTGTTGTTTGTAATACAGACCAAAGAATGATGTGTTCTTTGCAAACAAATCTGCAGGCAAGCCCTTGTTAGAATTATTTATACCCCTGTAAAATTCTGACTTAAGGTTACTTTTATTCAACCAGCAATCTGTTATTTTTACTGAAAATGACACAGGCTTCTCCCTAAAGATAATAAGACGACGTAAAGTGGCATTATGGAAAATACTATTTCTCATCTCCTGTTTTATTTTGAACAAAAGATATCCAAATTATTCATACCCTTTGCAAACTATCACACACTATGGGGAAATTTATACCATTCAAAATACTCCAAGCAGTTCTAAACCATCTTAATCACTCTGATTCATTGGGAACAGCTGTTTTAGTCAACTCAACACACTGTTAAAAAAGCCACACACAAAAGCCTGCTTGGCCTTTGCAAATGCTCGTATGGACAAAGCAGCTCTTCAGGACTTCTGTTTTATCGTCACATGAGTTAAAAAATATTTTCATTTCTTAATTTGTCATAAAAAGGAGAAGGACCCTGAACACCATCCCCACTGTCAAACATGGTGATGAGAACCTAATGTTTTTCGGGCTGTTTTTCAACAATTGCTCCAGTGAACCATATCAGTAAATGTAAAAATGTAATAAAAAGAATGTAAAAAATAAAGAAAGAAAATAATTAAAACAAAGTTTTACAGTGGTTCAGACAGAGTCCTGACTTGAATCCAATTTAGTATCTGTGGAGGGAGCTAAAGATCAGGGTGATGGCAAGGAGAACCTTCAACCTGAAAGAGTTGGAGCTTATCATTTAAGATGAATGGGCAAAATACCAGTGGAGATATGCATAAAGCTGGTCAAAGCTGGAAGCGACTTAAAGTTCACAAATGAGATTCATGTCTGCAAGTTAACGGTCTCCGTCCAGACTCTCGCAAGATTTACTTGAGTAAACCGTCCTCTGGATATGTAGGTTCATAACTTTGTGCTTTCTGTTATAATGTCATTATTAACTCACAATAATATTTTATTGCCCTACTTATTTCATTCAATACAACATTTATGTCATTAAAACAGTGCTTTTTGTTCATAACATTGTGGGCCTGCTACATGCTCAGAATGCAAAACTCATCAACCATAAAACAGCAAAAAGCAGTTGGAAAAATTAATGGTAACTATTACCCCAACAAGAAAATTAAAGATGTTAGTTTTTCCAATGTTACAATTCTAAAAAACAAAAAAAATATATACACAATTTGTTAGATGACAAAAATCTGTTTATAATGCAGACCTAAAGATCAGGGAGCTAAAGATCAGGGTGATGACAAGGAGACCTTGATGTAATAGCCAATAAAGGCTTGTCTATTGATTATTGAGAAGGGTATTAATAATTTGAAAAATGCCACTTTTTGTTCAAATTTAAATAAAAGCTTTGAAATATTTTGTCACAATGATGCCTTATTTATATATAGTTTTATAATCTTTTGGGAGAAGCCATTTCTGGTCTTAAAAACATTGGTGGTTAAATAAAAGTAACTTTAAGTCAGAATTTGCCAGGGGTATGAATAATTTTGGGCTTGACTGTATATAAAATATTTTAAAATAATATAATATTTATAATACAATATAATATTTTATATATTTTTATAGCCATCAAGAACCAATTTGTTTTCTCAATCAACCTTTTAGTGAGTAGTTCTCACAATAATTTGTAATAATATGAGAAACATTATTTCACCAATAAAAAAAACATAAAAACACTGTTGTGCTTGATTCTCTAGATATAAAGGTTCTTTACAGAACTACTGATGAGAATAAAACCTCTTAGTATTGAATGAAATATCATGTGAAATTCTACAGAAAATTATGGTTTCTCAAGCAGTAGTCTAAAAGAAGGAAATTAAAAATTGTCCTATTTACAAGATAATATTTTGTCCACATTGTTAATGTATTTATGCAGGTGGATTAGATATTATATAGATGCCTTTACAGTTTAGGATGGGGGTCCTAAGAGATTGTAAACCCCAGCGTTAGAATGACCTTTGCTCAAGATGTCCAATGTCACCAATAGGTGGCAGTAAAATCCCGTGCCAACCATCTGACTGACTCAATTTCATGATTTTGACAGCAGTTTTTTTTTTCCTTCTGAATTGAAATGCATTTGGAAAATTGGACCAGTTCCCAAATTTCTGCCGTGCAACATCAATATGTTAATTTCTGCTCTATAACTACCCTCTCACTCTTTCACTCTCGTTTTCCCTGGTCTGATGACTGCAATAGTTCATGAGTAAAGATGTATTAGTTGCCTCTAACTATGCCTGTACACAGAACAGTGTGTTAGTGTGATGAATCTGCGGTGTGTGTTTTCAGTCATTCAGTGAGCTGTGGAGGCCGCGAGCAATTCTTCATCTGCAGGCATCTGCATGAAATTGCTTCCCCCTTGAAACATTAAGACGGCTTAATTGACTTTTTCAATGAGGATGAGCTGCTTATACTTGCTGTATCGATTCAAGTTTCAAGGAAGTTCAGATTTGTGCCTTTACAAGAGGCCTTGATAGATTTTCATTCGTCTCTGTTTCCCGTAATGGAATATGAATAATGCCTTCATCCTGGCAAGACACAAGACTCACATCGTACAAGAACATTACAGAGCCATAAAAACACATTTTTGTGTGTGTTCATACTGTAGATTTTGTTGCTGAACTGGTGGTCAGCGTGAAAAAGAAGTATATATTAACACACTTTCTTCAAAAATTAATGGAAGAATGTAGTAAAATTGAAAGTTTTTTTCAAACACTTCATTGCGCATTAAGTTAAACTAAATGATTGCAGTTGTATTTTATTGTAAATATAGTGTCTGAAATGATCACATTTAGTGCTTATGTTACACTATATATTATAAATAAGACTTTTTTTTGACCCTTTAAACTAGGCTATTATTTATTCTATATCTAATAATATGTGTACACCAAATGTATCAACAAAGATGTGTCATGTAATCAATATTTTAAACAATAACAACATATTTTATATCATTTATTTGGGAAACCTTTAGTTTTTACTTTAGTTTTTACTTTATTCAACTTTTTTTACTCCACTACATTATAAATAAATATAAAACTGTGGCAGATTACATCCTGATATTTTGTGCATGAGGAGAAACATTATTTATTTCCCTTTTTAAATAAATAATATCTATTGCTACAAGTTCTAATGCACTCTTTCAACCAGTTTGCAGTTGTTTACATGTTCAGGTTCAAACTTAGACTGTTCAACTGCATTGTGGGAGGGAGAGAAAGTTGTGGTTGCCAGGTCAGCAGTTTAATATAAGCTGATGAAAACAACACAGTAGTACAGGTAAACAGTACAGTAGCTCGGAACTCCAATCAAGCTCAGTCCTAAAACTAGTTTGCTGTATTGTGTTAGAAGTATTATTTATTACAATTTAGTGTTGCTCAAATTTACTTGTAACAATTAAAATGATACCATCACACCTAAATGTGCAAAGCCTTTTTATAGTCCATATTACACAAGTTAGCCAATTAAAAACTACACAGCTGACTACTCAGAACTACAGAAGCTCAAAACTAGTACTGGAAGTGCTTTACCAGAAATATAACATATTATAGTTTGAAAATGGTGGTGACTGTGCTTATGTTAAATGGGTAATAGGCATCTGAAGCACTTGATATCTAAAACATCAATGGACGTCTACTGGGACATATGTGAGAAATAATGTACACTGTAAAAATGATTAGATTATTAACAATGTTTGTATTTTATGATGCACATGTGTTTTACTTTTATTTATGATAATGACTTGTTTAATGGGACCTTGATCTCTAGTCTATTGACTTTTGATGTTGAAAACTCAACTTTACAGTTTAACTGTGTAGTGGGTTTTGACATTTTAGTCGTTTGAAACAATAGGCTACTGGCAGTTATAAACAGGTTTTTGTACTGTAGTTTACAAAATCTTATAGACAAGTTAAGTCACTTTTCAATAGCAAAAGTTGTTGGAGGAAAGATCAGTGTCCCATAATGCAATTTAAAAAATGAATTACAAAATGCAGAAAACTGTACAGATTTTCATTTCAGTGTATTGTTTCTTTAGAAAGTCAGATAGTAACCTGGCCTGACACACATAATCAACACTTTTAGTGTTTTCTGTTTTTAGTATCTTTTGTTGTGTAAAAATATTTAAAATCTGTTTATGTAAGTGGCCATCCATAAATAAATATATATATATATATATATATATATATATATATATATATATATATATATATATATATATATATATATATATATATATATATATATATATATATATATGCTGTGCACAGTGTTATACAATCAAACAAAACACCAACACACTAAGGTAATCCATTAACACAACAAAGCACCCTATACATCAGGGGTTCTCAAACTCAGTCTTGGAGGTCCGGTGTTCGGCAGATTTTAGCTCCTACCTGCCTCAACACAACTG